CAGGGGAAAGGCGGGGGGCGGGATTAAAGGGCCGGATTGGCACCCCAGCCAGTCCCACAGCAGGCCTATCATTTCAGCTAAAACTGGGAGCAGCAACGCGGTCAGGTGAGATGATGGATCCGGGAGGGGGAAGCCCTGCCTGGCCCAAGCAGGAAAAAGGAAACCAAGGTCTTGGGACTGACTTTTTGTCTGGGCAGCGGGAAAAGGGGTTGGCTAAATCTGCCAGAGCCCTCTCACTTTCCTCGGCCTTCCTTTTTGCGACGTTGCCCATCGTCTTACTGCCAGCAGCCTTCTCCTCCTGCTCCTCCTCTCCGGTCTGTCACCCGGCACATTTTCCGGGGAGTGAGAGAAAGGCCGCTCCCTCCTCTCATTTCGAAACTCCTTTTTGTTCGCAAGCGCGGCCGATTGTTTAGCCGCCCTCCCGGCTGATCCCGGTTTTAATTTCGCGTCCCGATTTTACGCCACTCTGTGATTCACAAGGAGAACGGCAGCCCATTTCTCCCCGGAGAGACAGTGCCGGAACCAGGTGTATTGTGTGTGTGTGCACGCGTGCGTGCGTACGTGTGTGTGTGTGTGTGTGAGAGAGAGAGAGAGAGAGAGAGAAAGAGAGAGAGAGATGGATTTAGGCGCTCAAACTGGAGTCACCCCCTAAACAGAGCTAACAAGCTTCTCAGAGCAAGGCCATTTTAGAACTGACTCTTCCTGTAATTGTTGATGTTTCTCGAGATAACAGAGGAGCCGTAAACCCAGGAAGTATTTCAAAGCCCCATTGAATTCAACAGAGTCAAGCGTTTGCTGTCGTTGGAGAATCAACAAAAATAAAAAGAACTCAGTTTTGACAGGCTGGTGGCCGCGGTGGTTTTTTTCTTCTTCTTCTTCTTCTTCTTCTTCTTCTTCTTCTTCTTCTTCTTCTTCTTCTTCTTCTTCTTCTTCTTCTTCTTCTTCTTCTTCTTGGCTTTGATAGTCATGAAGCCACTTCTAAATTCTGGTTTCTTTCGGAACTTTCCGGAAGGAACTGGACTCAATTTACTGCGGTGAATGGGAGGTGAAAATGCTCCACTTTGACAGGATTGGATCCCCCTTAAATATTTTATTTCTCACCTTGGATTCTGGCCTTGGGGAAGATGGTTTCATTTTTATGAAGCCAGGGCGGGAGGCGGGCCGGTGGAGAGACTTTCCAGCAAATATCTGGTTTAAAACAAACAAACAAACAAAAAATGGTCACCTGGACTGAAACTCCACACAGGGTTCAAGAAGGGGCAATGGCAGCTATGCCACAGCCACCCAGTCCTCGATATGTAGTGTTTAATGCTCACCACGGCAGCACGATCGCCTCTGCTCTGACAAAGAGACCTGTGTAGTACACAGGATTTGTATACACCTGTTCCTCTACATGCACATTTTACATTTTAAATATACGCTGTTGCTTCGTGTTCTAAAAAGTAACGTGCGAAAAAAAAAGTGAAAGTCCCAGGGTTGTCCCACAAATAAGTCTTTGGATTTGGAATATGATCCAGAAGACAAGGAGGGAGGGGAGGCAAATTTTTTTTGAAAAAAGGAAAAAACGATCCCCCGCCCGCAAAGGAAATACACTTGTGGTCAACTTTCTTGTAAACTTTTATCTTCTGTAAGGTTAGCATAGTTTCTGAATTCCAGCATTACTCTGTACCTATTTTCTCAGCAGAAATACCTGTGTCGGTCTGTGCGCCCGCGCGTGTCTGTGTTTGTACATATAAGGAATTTTGTTCTTATCGTCATTTTCGAACATTCTAAATGGATGGTTTATATAGGTGTAAACCAGGACTGACAGCTGTTCTGAGGAACAGCAATAATGCACAATACTAACAGAAATAATGATATAAGGGAATGATAAACAAAGCGCCCGCAAAGTACGAGATGAGTTTCAGATATTTAAAATCCGACAAGTGCCTCCTCAGTTTCTCCCGAGGGTGCAAATACGAAGTATAGGTTCGGGAGTGGAACCCAGGGTCCTGCAACTGCTTCGGAGTAAACACGGGTAGGTTGGCAGGGGGCACCTTCTCTTCCCTTTTCATTCCTGGGGGGGGCACCTTCTCTTTCGCTTAGGGCTCTTCCTTGTACCCCCGCAGGGAATGATAAGACCATCCAACCCCTGGAAAGACAGAGGGACCACTCAGGTTCCTCTGTTACTCCAAGAGGTGCCAAAAAGTGCGGAAAGGCCATATCCTAAGAGGGCATCACTTAGGCAACAGCCCGGCCGTAGTAGCTCCAGCCCCGCAAGAAAGGGCGACCAGGTCGGCAACCAGCGTCCGGGAGGAAAGAAGACTCGCCAAGCGTTCTCACCTCGGAACTGCATCCGACCAAACCCGCGCCTTCTTTCCCGAGACCACGGCTGAAAAGGGAGTAAAGGCCACAGTCCCGATGCCCACCTCTTCCTTGAAGATCTCCCTCACTGCAGAAGGACAAGGCTGGTGCTGGGTTGATCCCTGACAGACGGGCCGCCAGTCCGCCAACGCAACAAATGGCAGAAGCCCGGGAGTGGGGGGACGGAGGGGGGAGAGAAAGAGAAGAGGCTTTCCCAACGCTCTGTCCTATAGACCCAACAGAGGTAGGAAGGGAATCCTGTTATCTTTTATCATAGGATAACACGCTATTACTGTATATGATTTTACTATTATTATATTGGACTGTATCACATTATATCGTCCGGCACCAAGAAGAAATGGGGAGAGCGAATTCCCGAAAAGAATTGTTGGGAAGAGTTGAATTCTCTGAGTGTGATTCTGCGTGTGGGGAGATTGTTCCATCATCAGCAGACCAAAAAGAGAGAGAAAAACCCTATAGAGTAAAATATCAAGGGTGAATAATGTCCACTGATCTCTTTCCAAACAAAAGTTTTATTTTGTTTTTCATTTTTAAAAAAGAGTGGGTCCGTTTGCTGGCTGGGCCAGCCACTTTCAGCACGTCCTGAGCTGGGTTGTTGTTAAGACCAATCCCGTCGGGATTTCCCCCCCCCCCGCTTCTTTCTTTCTCTCTCGCTCTCTCTTTTTATGAAGGGGACACACCAAGGCTGCCGAACAGCAAAACCCCAATGTTGGACAGCTGTAAAATCGTGTAGACAGGTTGTCATACAGCAGCGGGGGCTTCTCTGAAAGTAGCCCATTGCTAAACATTAAATACACACACGCACACACAAACCCCCACCCCGCCACACGGCAGCTGCGCGCAGACACACACACCACACGCACGCACGCACACACACATACACACGCACGCATCAAGGCAAAGTGGCCCAGGCAGGCTTGCGGAACCACGTGCTCGGCGGAAGGAGGAGGGAGGGCAGGAGTGGGCGGGGCTTGGAGCTCAAGTGGGTGCCAATCAAAGCATCAACTTCAAATTGTATCTGAAAGATCAGCCGAGGACCTTAGGGCAGGCGCATCAGTCGGAGCTCAATTGTTGATCAGATCACATCTAAGGGATTTAGGAGCACAGACGAGCCGAGATTTGAGGGAAGACGCCCCATCGAGTCCGTCCACACGCGCTGCCGCCGCCTCCGCCTCCGCCTCCGCCTCCTCTCCTTCCTCCTCCTCCTCCTCCTCTTCTTCTCCCACATGCCCACTGCGAGATCGGGCTGAGAAGGAGAGAGAAGCGAAGAGAA